GTAAATAAGTTATTTAAGTTACCAATATTTTAAGGTTATGACAAAAACACTTCATGTTATAGAAATGAATTTACATTATATGCAATATGTTCATATTTCGCGAGTTATACAAACCTCAGCTTCAAGGAATTTAAAAGATTTTTGTAATTTCCCATATATGTTTAATCCGATTTTATACTGAAGTCCCACAAAGGACACATTTGTAAATTTTGATATTGTTGTTTCTGTTCAATTTAGAATCACTTTCGGAAAATTTGGTCCTTATCGGTTCATATCATATCTATGTACAGATTCGGAAAAAAAATAGGAACAAGCTTAACATCGTATTGTTGGTCAGAATGGAATTATTCCATGGCATAAAGGTATCATTTTTACATGGAGCAAATAAAATATATATATTTTTCAATAAACATTAAAATTTATCATAAGTACCAAAGGTGTAATTTTAGGTACATTATTAAAGGATATATTTTCCCAATTTCGATTTTGGGAAAGCCAGGTTTTTGATGTTAGAGATACCTACTGTTGTCCATTTTTTTATTATTCTACTTTCGGAAAATTACCTTAATATGAACCAGTATGGAAAGTTCAAAAGTCGAACGGGACCGACTAAGTGATACCACTCGCCATATTGGACATATACTCTTATGATCCTTTTACAGTGCAGTTAGATATATACCAATATGAACCAAATACAACATACGTCCTTCTCTAATAATTTTGGTCGTATAGGTACAATATCATGTCGATAGAATAGACATAACATTTGTGCTCCGTATAAATATTTAAAATTATTTAAATCAAATTACATTTTTTGAATCTATGCAAAATTCCCTATCAATTGGACAGAATTGAGTCTTTGGTGGGTCTTTGATGCGCTATTTACAGAAAATCGGACCAAATATATATATGGGACCTACATCTAAATATGAACCGATTTCGAAACAAATTCTGAAATTTCAAATTTTAACTCAATCGAACCCACCTTAGGAGTTTGGTTCACCTTTTACATAAAATCGGACGAAATATATATGCGAGTCATATCTAAATCTGAACCAATTTTCTCCAATTTCAATAGGATTCGTCCTTAGACCAAATAAGTGACCTGCACCCAATTTCGTCTTATTCGGATTATAAATGCGATTATAAATGCGACTTTGCTCAGAAAAGACGACATGCATAAATCAACGCAGAAAGTGACTCTATGCATAGTCTCAAAAAGAACCATCTGTCTGTTTCGTTTCCTTTTGCCTGATACAAACATATGCACAAAGACATAATAACCTATCCCACAGTGTGGTAAAGGATATAAGAACATTTTTGGGATAGAGATTTGTTAACATATACGACTACAAAAAACCAAATTACTGCGAATTCGGTTGAAAAACGCGCTCAATTGGCGGTACCTTTATATGGGAGCTTTGCCTAAACGTGGACCTATATTTATAATTTTTAGTGGAGAGATTTGCTATCCAATAAGAACTCGAAGTACTAAATTACAGCCAAATCGGTGGAAAAATGCGTTCAAAACCCCCAAAATACCGAAAATTTGGAGTATCATTGTATGGGGGCTACCAGAAAATTGGACCTATATTTATAATTTTTAGTGGAGAAATTTGGTACCCATCAAGAAACGAATGTACCAAATTTCAGCGAAAATAAGGTGCTAACATCTAGCAATTTGTTTTTTCGTACGATGAAGTCCCCGCCCATTTTCCATCCCACAATAATATAGCCCTAACGTGAAAGTCGCAAAATGTGTCTTAAATTAACCTTAATTTTACTATTTTTCAGTATGTAATGCTAAAATTAAAAACATATATTGCACAAATAAAATATATTTACTTAAAAATCAATTTGTTTTATTTCTGAGAAATTAATTAAAAATAAATTAAAATTTTTTTAATTACAAAATTTTAATACACAAAATGTCAGTCGAAATGTATTCAGGCACACTCAAATTTGCATATCTTTTTGACCAGGTAGCACCATGAAGTTCGCTCGAATACTTTTGTTGTTCGCATTGTACATAAATCTCAACGATGCAACGATACGTTTTACAAATTTGAAATGTGAAACATTTAATAAGGATTTCCTCACCTTTAAAGAATGTAATTTGAAAGTAATCTCCCGCGGCATTATTGGTTTAAATGTACATGGTAATATATGGCAACTACCTATAAGTAATATGTCGGTACGGAAATATATATTTTGTATTTTAAATGTGGGAAAAATATAACATATTTTTCTTTCAGATCAATTTGTCATTGTTCAAAAAGTTGAGTGGCTATAAACCATTTCTCTACAATATAAGCGTAGATTTGTGTAAATTTTTTAAGAATCCCAAAAAATATCCATTCATTGAACTATATCATCGGGTTATAGTCAAAGAATCAAATATTAATCATACGTGTCCTTACAATGTAAGTAAACTTAATGGAGAATAATCGAGTATATTGAAGCTTTATATCCATTACAGCACGACCTCATTGTAAAGGATTTGGTTTTAAACGAAAATAAATTTAAATATCTACCATTGCCACGCGGGGAATATCGTTTCGATTTGAAAGGTGGTGTTAATAATGATTGGAAAGGAGAAGTAAAGGCGTATGTTGATGTTAGCAGTGATTTGTAAATTTCATATATGTGGTTTGTTTGAAATAAAAATACATCACTTCCAGTTAAATGGAATAAGAATTGGTAAAAGTCGAATTTAACTTTATATTATGTGGACAACAACTGATTTTATAACAGTTGAAGAACAGTATTGAAATTATTATTAATTAATATTTAAATACCCAGTACAGTAAACAACTAAAGTGATACCCTACGCCACAATGTATGCAAAACTTCATGTCAATCGGACATACTTAAGGACTTTTTGTGCAATCTATATAAAAATTGGAAAATGATATATGCACCAATTAAATCTGAACCGAACACACGAAATTCTAGATTCAGTTTTATACGCTCTGCAATGTTCCCTTCAATGTAAATGGAATTTGAGTGATTGTTGTTGTTTGAGTAATGAAACGTTGGTTATTTGTTGCACCATTGAACTCTACCATACTGCCATAACTACCATAAAGATAGGACAATTGATACGTAAGCAATTTCCAACAGATGGTTTTTCCTCTGTTGTAACGATATCATAACAACAGAGAGAACAATATTAAAAGTTTTTAATGCTATATCTTAAGCTTATAAAATGAAAATAAATATTTTGAGTGCAGGTCTCTAATTATACCCTTCACCACACTGTGGTACAGGTTATTATGTCTATGTGCATATGTTTGTAACAGGCAAAAATAATCGAGATAGACCCATGGTTCCTTTTGAGAATATGCATAGAATCACTTTCTAAGTCGATTTATGCATGTCCGTCCGTCTGTCCATGTTAAATTGTAAACAAAGTACAGGTCGCATTTATGATTTATGAATTGGATGAAATTTGGCAGAGCTCATTTGTTTGACCCAAGGACGAACCCTATTAAAATTGGGAAAATCGGTTCAGATTTAGATATAGCTCCCATATATATTTTCGTCCGATTTAAGGTAAATGAGGTACCAAAGTCCCTAAATATCTTTCGATTTGCACGCAATTTGGTACAGCCTACTGAACTAGGTCTAGAATGATGTGTGCCAAGTTTCGTGAAAATCGGTTCAGATTTAGATATAACTCCCATATATAGTTTCGCCCGATTTTAGGTAACTGAGGTACCAAAGTCCCTTAATATCTTCCGATTTGCACGAAATTTGGTACAGCCTACTGAACTAGGTCTAGAATGATGTGTGCCAAGTTTCGTGAAAATCGGTTCAGATTTAGATATAGCTCCCAGATATATTTTCGACCGATTGTATGTAAATGGTGCACCAAAGTCCCTGTATATCCTCCGATTTGCACGAAATTCGGTACAGCGTACTGAATTTAGTCTAGAAGGATGTGTGTTAAAATTCGTGAAAATCGGTTCAGATTTAGATATAGTTCCAATATATATTTTCGTCCAATTTTATGTAAATGGTGCACCAAAGTCTCTATATATCCTTCGATTTGCACGAAGTTTGGATTTATAAGTAAATGAAGAACTCAAAATAGTGCCGAATGCTCAAAACATACTGATATAAGTGTAACCTAACATGTGACAAGTTTCGATGAAATCGGTTTAGATTTCGATATTTTGCTTTAAAATTATTTATATAATTTTGTTCCATTTTAAGAAGCAACTCTATATTTGACCAAAATTTAGTATAGGTTGCAGAATGACATGTTTAGTTTAGTCTTAATGGTCCTTCAAAAATGCGACGTCTGTTAGGATTCCATCTGTTGAATATACCCAAAGTGGTGAAGGGTATAATATAGTCGGCCCCGTCACATTTTCTTAAGACATTTTCGCGTATTGGTGTTTTTATTCTTAACATGGCTCTGTTAACATTGATTCCCCCTGGATATTTTTTCATAAACTATTTTGCCAAAATGCATTTTGTCGAGTCTTTACGGTTTCTATGTCTTTGTCTTAGAATACCATATTTTCGAGTACAGAATATCCCCCTACTATGATGGAATACGACTGTATGTGGATAAACAAAAAACGTGGAACAGTTCAGATAACTATTTTAATATAAACCAGTAAGGAAAGTAGTAAAGTTGGACGGGGCGACTATATGTTATCCCTTACCACTTTGGTTATAGTCTAAATATGGATCTTTAGTTTGCGTAAAATACACTAATATGCCGCAAAATTTCACCTCAATCATACACCCGTTCGAAATATATGTATATGGAAGAAATATAGAGACTTTGGTACACCATTTACATTAAATCGGACATAAATATATATTGGAGCTAAATCTAAATCTGAACCGATTTTCACAAAACTTAACTTAATTCAGGGACTTTGGTACACCATTTACATTTAATGGGGCAAAAATATATATGGGAGCAATATCTAAATCTGAACCGATTTTCCCCAATTTCAATAGGGTTCGGCTTTAGGCCAAATAAAATCAAATTGAATCCTATTCTGATCATAAATGCGACCTGTACATAGTTTACAAGACTACATGGACCGACGGATGAACATGCATAAATCCACTCAAAGAGTGATTCTATTCATATTCTCAAAAGTAACCATGTGTCTATCTCGTTTCGTTTTACCTGTTACAAACGTATGCACAAAGACATAATACCATGTACCACAGTGTGGTGAAGGGTCCAAAAAGTGAAATGAAGAAGGCAAATTTCATAAAGTAACATCTACAGATCCAAAATATACGGCATCTCAATATTTTATCATTGACCAACTTCCTTGGTTGCAATAAAAACGTCAACATTGGGTTCTTTTATCTTTTATTACAATACTCGGATGTTAAGACAATAGATAATGTGTGTAAATACAGATGGTTATTTGTATATGGTTTAGCAGTAATTACTCTCGGACGTTGGCCTTTGCAGCTTTGTAGTGGGGGCGGAACGCAGGAGCGAGCTGAACGCGGGAACGTGTTAGATGCTGGAGCGTGTTGAATATAGGAGCGGGCAGAGCGCAGGAGCGGGCTGAACGCAAGAACGAATTAGATGCTGGAGCGTGTTGAATACGGGAACGGTTATATGTAGGAGCGGGCAGAGCGCAGGAGCGAGCTGAACGCAGGAGCGAGTTAGATGCTGGAGCATGTTGAATACGGGAACGGTTATATGTAGGAGCGGGTAGAGTACAGGAGCGAGTTAGGTGCTGGAGCGTGTTGAAAACAGGAACGGTTATATGTAGGATCGGGCAGAGCTCAGGAGCAAGCTGAACTCGGGAGCGTGTTGGATACGGGAAGCTGGCTGCAGGCGTAAATCTGGCTATGAGCGATCTACAAGCGCGTTGCTGGCTATAAGCATGTAGCTGGATACGAGCGTGTTGCTGGCTATGAACGTGGAGCTGTCTATGAGCTGGGACCTGGCTACGAGCGTAGAGCTGGCTATGAGCTGGGACCTGGCTACGAGCGGGGAGCTGGCAGCGAGCGTGGAGTTGGCTATGAGGTGGGAGCTAGCAAAGAGCGGGTAGCTGGAAAAGAGCGGGTAGCCGGCAAAGAGCTGTGAGCTGGCTATGAGCTGGGAGCAATGAAGCCCATCAGTATACTTTAAAGTAGCTACCTACTCACACGCATTGTTATGCTCTTTCATTCAGTCGTTGTTTGACAGCCAACGAATGAACACATGCTGGGGTGCGCGCACGACGTCGTGTCCACACAACTAGAAAATCAACGTAATCACACTTAGGGATAAAAGTATCTCAGTATATTTTTATTTTATTATTAAAAATGCGTTTGGAAAGGCGCAATGTTTTGTATGTTTGAAAACTTTTAAAAACAACAGAACATCACATTATCAAATATTTAATTATTTCAAGAATTAAATATTTGATAATATGACTATTATCTCAGTATATGCTACTTTATAAACTTTATTTGATTTTTGTAACATATACATTTTTAATAATGCTTTTAATATATATAATAACAAAAAATTAAATTCATCAAAATTTTCCCGACCACAAAAATGTACACACACTTTTGTTCAGTACTGTTCTGTTTTCTATCACACATACTAACGCATTTCAATTTTGGGCACCTATGGCTGGGAGCTGACAAAGAGCTGGGAGCGGGCAAAGCGTAAGGCCGAAGACTTTTGTTAACGACTGACTGTTCGCTAACTCAGGTTCTGGACAACTTCAGTGATGAAAAGTGGAACTTATCCATATGGCTTTATCAAGTGAATGAGAATTATTCACTCACTCTTCAGTGCCAAATGCAATGAAGTTATAATGGGGGAATGAGTAAACACAGATGGTTGTTTTAGTTGTATTGTTCATCGTACAAGTCATGTGTTGTTGTAATGGAGTTAAAATGTTGTTATAGATATTAGGGTGGGTAGTATTACTGGTATTTTATAAGAAAAATGTATGGATATTAGGGTGGGCCGTATTAGTAGTATTTTATGATGAATATGTTGTGGAGCTATGTGACGGTCACGTTACACCTCTGCTCTAAGACTCCAAGAGGCAGGAAAGTGACGATCGTCGTCACAGCGGTTCATGAATGTAAATTCGCACTGCATGACTTAATATTTGGGTGGATCCAGGACATAGTGAATAAATGGGAATGAAATAGCTGATGAGGGGTATCATAGTTGTCCGATCTAGTGATTGTGAAATCTGTACGACTACCTATCGGCTACTTCGGGAAGGCAGGAAGCCGACGGAATGTTCGGACCTGGATGTAGAATTATCGATCATGGTTAAACTAATTAACTAATATATTTACCTACCACCATCTACTATCCTTAATTTTTTATTTTTTTTTTATTTTTATTTCTCTTTTTCGGGTACTTAGGATGGCCACTATGTAAAATATATCTCAAAATGAAAACAACTGCTAGACCACTGGTAGCTGTACATCCTTTAATGAAATCTAACCTAACGCGTCAACAATATCTTCTGAAGACGAAAATGGTTGAACTCGCATTTTTTCTTGAGCCAGCACAACTTCCACATTTTGGCCGGTCTGCAGATTTAAGCCGATGTTAACTTTAACAGCCTAACGCTAACAAATTTGTTATTCCATTTTGTTATGGAGTAGCTGCCATGAATAATTATTTTATATATGCGCAGAGTAATTTGTAATAATTTGTTTTTAATTAATATTTGTTGTTTTTTTTTAATAATTAATATTTTTGGTAAATGTGAAAAAAATATTAAAAATGATTAATGTTTTTTTAAATACATTGTATATGTCACCATAGTTTTATTTGTTATCAAAAAATCTACACTATTCCACACACACACGTGTAGTATTGTAATAGAATACGAAATCACCATCATTTTATTTTAAATCACAAAACAATTGAATGAAAATTTTATAAATCTTCAAATATCTGGAAATAGGTCTTAACATCAGCTTTCCAATCATTGTAGGCAGCAACTTTCAAATCTATACGATATTCTCCACGTGGAAATGGAAGATATTTCAGTTTATTTATATCCAATACTAAATTCTTCACTATTATATCATGCTGAAAGAAAAGGTATATTTATTATATATGTGTGTGTGACATAAATTGATACTTACATTATATGGACAGGTGTGATTGATATTTGAATCTTTTACTAGAATACCAACGAAAACATCAATAAAGGGATATTTCTTCCTATTGGCCAAAAATTGACAAAAATTCGTAGTAACATTATAGAGGAACGGTCGATAGCCGTTGGTCTTTTTCAATATGGCCACGTTTATCTGAAAAGAAAATAAGGCAATGAAAACATAACAAAATAAGCAAAAAACGTGGTTACGTTCGGACTGGAAGAAATGTTTGTAAACATATAATTTTTTTTGTATTAAATGATTTTTTTCAATAAGTATTTAATGAGGCATAACGTAAAATTGAATTCAATATCATCTATATATATAAAAGAAACGTGACTGCTAAAGCTAGAAACTTGAAATTTGGCATGTAGGTCCGGGTTGGTGCGTAGGCGTGTGATAACGCTGGGTTTTGGGAAATTCGTACTAAAAGGTACTAAAAAGTACTAAAAACTGTATTACGCGGGAAGGGTTAGATGTAGAACTTTGAAATTTGGTACGTAGCTTTGTATAAGACGAGCAAAGAGGAATGTGTGAAAAAAATTTGGAATTTAGTACTAGAAGGTACTAAAAAGTACAAAATAGTATAATTCTATAGAACCGGTGGAGATAAATATCTGAAATAGGGTATGTAGCTTAAGCTATTACAAATAGAATGATGTGCAAAAAATTTTTTTGGAAATTAGTACTTAAAGGTACTAAAAAGTACTAAAACTGTATTACTCCGGAATGGTTGGAAGTAGAACTCTGAAATTTGGTATGTAGCTTTGCCTATGATAAGCCAAGTGGTGCGTTGGAAAAATTTTTGAAATTTAGTACTAATAAGTACTAAACATTACATCTGAATGAAATCGGTGAAGATTCATATCTGAAACATAGTGTGGAGCTTAAGCTATTACAAATAGAATTAGGTGCGAACATTTTTTTCGAAATTAGTACTTAATAGTACCAAAAAGTACTAAAACTATATTACAGCGGAACGTTAGGAAGTAAAACTTTGAAATTTGGTATGCAGCTTTGTCAATTATAAGCGAAGGGCGAAGTGTGAACAAATTTTGGAAATTAGTACTTAAGGTACTAAAAAGTACTGAAATATGGTATGTAACTTAATCTATTACAAATAGAACGATGGTCAAAAATATTTTGTTGGAAATTAGTACTAAAATGTACTAAAAAATTATGAATATTGAATTACAATAGAACCGATAGAGATAGAAATCAGGAACTTTGTATGCAGCTTTTACTATTACAAAGTACTAAAGTGTTGATAAAAAGTACTAAATAAAAAATACAATGGAGCCGATATCTGAAATGGTACTAAATATTAAATGACAACTGAATGATAACGGACAACTAAACGGTTTTTTATTAAAAGGGTTCCAAAATGCCTGGAAACTACAAAATTTGTATTGAGCGATTAGAATTGGTAGAGTTTGGAATTCGTGTATGTGGCTTCTAAAATACAAATATAATTATTCCCAGCGCCATCAACAAGTTTATAAGGATAGAAATTAGCATTGCCTAATACACCAAGAAGTTGGTAAATTGCACTTAAAGGTACCAACAAGTACTAAATATTGGGTACGGTAGAACGGATAAAGATATGAACCTGTTATTAAATACTTATCTGGAACTATAACGACAAACATTTATACATAACTGCTTTCCAGCAATAATTTTTAAAAGTACAACACATTGTATACGGCGATACGGGTAGAGATAGAATTTGGTACAAGTCTTTTTGTATTACAAACAATGTTTTCGCAGTTTAGTATTTAGGGTTCTAAATATTGTGTACGACAGAACGGGTAGAGATAAAGTGCTGACATTTTGTTTGTATAATCCAAAATCTGATCTAAAAACGTTGACAGTTACATGAAATATAGTTTTCAATCCATAGACTTATAGTACTGCGAATGATTTTAGAATTTTACAAATAAGTGAAACAAGGCACTGAACAACGCAAGTACTAAATTGTTGACACTTTTAAACGCAAATATTTCTAAGATTTCTACCATAACAGTACTGACGTTTATTTCTAATGATGTTTCCAACCCCACTTACGCGAATATTATGGTGTGATGAGAAATGTTGAACATTAATACCGTTGAATTTGAGAAATATATGAAAATGAGTAAAGTTTTCTCTATATAGTAAAATTCGAGCACCAACGCTAATTAAGCCTATGTTCGAAGACTAAGATCTAAGATTTTTTTTTAAATTAAGGCATAGGAGCTATCCAAAAGTGTGGAGATTATTAAACAAGTTTAAAATGTGATATGGATCATTGTAAGTACATACTTAGAAATGCATAAATCTGTATAAAGTTATATTGTGTAGCTAAATCAATGTTTATTTTAACTATAAAATATAAGTTTTTTTGGAAAGACCCGCTAACGACGTAGCGGGCATATGCTAGTTAAAATATAAACTACAAAGTGATATTCAGAATTTTTCTACAAAGAATTTACACCCGCAAACTTTTTGATTTATAGAAGTATCCATGAACTAATGAAATGGTCCTTGTTCCTATCGTTCGTTTATCGCAATATTTCCATTGAACTAGTTCGTTCCAGAGCTACCCAACTCAAATATATTATAATAAGAATCGTAGGAGCATCTCTAGTACACACATCAAATAGTCGGGCCCGTCCGACTTTTTAACTTTCCTCACTGGTTTTAATGTTACATATTGTATTTATTTGAGAGTTAATTCGCAAAAGTAGGCAAATTCATATTAAATGTAAAAATAATAGTAATTAAATAAACATTTGGCCGAACATGTTTAATAAATAAAATCGGTATTTAACCCGAATATGACGAGTGTACTACATGTATTACACCTATTATTTTTAGTTATCTTAGTTAATTTGACGTTAAATTTTCGAATAAGCTTACTGCAAAGCATGCATTGATAAGTCCTAATATAAATGCCGTTTAACAGGCAATAGTAATCGAGATAGACCCATGGTTTATTTTGAGAATAGGCATTGAATCACTTTCTGAGTCGATTTATGCATGTCCGTCCTCATTTAGTTGGCTGAAGGACGAATCCTATTGAAATTTTCAGTTAATGGTGCACCAAAGACCCAAAGATAGGCCGATTGCCGCAAATTTTTGCACAACGTACTGAAGTTAGTGTAGTCTAATACGTGTCAAGTTTGAAATACTAAACAATATCATATCACATTGATATAACTCTCACATCAGAGTACATATAACAATAAACAAATCTATGCTAATAAAAGAGTAACGTGATTGACTGACTGATTTAACGATTCATTAATGTCCAGACTAAACGGCTAAAGCTAGAATCTTGAAATTTTGGGTGAGCGTCCAAAAGTGACAGACAAGGCTGGGTTTTTGGAAATTCATACTAGAATAATAAATGTGATACCAGTTGTATTTGGCGAACCGGTAGAGCTAGAACTCTTAAATTGTAAATAAGGGTCACTAATGGAGTGTAGAATAGATATAGAAAAGTGTTTTTTGGACATTCGAACTATAAGTATGCGAAAAGTACTAAAATGTACTAAATTTGGTACAATTTCGTAGCATTTGAATGGATAGCGCTAAAAACTTGACAACGTTACCTATTAACCGACGGGGCGTACAAAAATATTCAACTTCCCCACTATGGCAAAATGTTGTATACGGCCGTATTACCCAAATACGTCGAATCCATATCTTTATGCGTGTTCTACCTTTGTGGGGAAAACGTCGAAGGAGTTAGTTGAATTTTAGGTAAGTCTGTGAAATTTGGATAGGTAATAGGTACAATAACACGCGCAGGCAAGAGTGTTCGTTGTTGAATGAACGTAGGTAATGGGGAATAACAAAAAGCACAGGCAGTGGTATGCAATGCTTGGTAAACAAGCAGCAACAACATGCATATGGAAATTCGAGGCAATGCAAAATGGAACAACAATGCAACAGTACTTTGGCTATCGACAGTGGCCCTACGTGGGGACGTTTGCTATAAAAGGGAATTGTAACAATGGAGTGATTACAAGTGAACTTCGAGGACACAAGTGCTCAGGAACCATTCAAGGGGAACCAGTGAGTATTGCGCGTGAACAGTGTGAAATTTATAAGCGTGTTTCGTAGGCCGCTTATAACTCGGGAAATTCGTGGAAATTTATAAGCGTGTTTCGTCGGCCAGTTACCGTGCTCCGACTTAACGCTCGTGGATAATCGTGTTTCGTACGCCGCTTATCGATCAACAGCCGACGCTAAGTGTGTTGCCGGCGCCGCTTACGAGACTGGATTTTGAGAGTCGGCTAAAGACCACCAGCGGAGTTGCAGGAACTACACGAGAAACAGACCAGACAGGCGGGAGTTTCACCCAAGCGAGGGCCTACACTTGTCATTACAGATCCCAGTGGAGTCACCGCTGCACTAAAGCCCAGCCGACCGCACCAGACACCCCTACGGCCACGACGGGTGAACGAACAATGTTGTCTCCCCATACTAATATCCGGGCCATTGCCGATCATTTACGTATATGTATAGATTTCCGCCATCTGAATAGCTTATAGGATCCCGACGCGTATCCGCTGCCTCGTATTCAGTCGATTCTTGATCGGCTCCGGGTGTGTACTGGCAGATTCCCCTGGAAGAAGGAAGTCGGAAGTACACCTCCTTCACTGTCGCTGGAAGGGCTCTTTCAGAATTTGTTCTCATAGGAAGGAACTTAGAGGAACACCTAGCTTAACTCAGAAAAGTGTCACTTTTTCCAACGAGAAGCAAAGTATTTGGGACATATGGTGAGCGGCGATGGAATTCAAACCGATACGGACAAAGTCGCCGCGATTCAATAAATGAAACCACCGGAAAATTTGAAGGAATTAAGGCGGTTTTGGGCGTAGTCTCCTGGTACCAGCGTTTCATACCAGAATTCGCAACCCTAGCCCACCCGCTGACGTCGTTGTTGAAGAACATACCAACACCCTTGAACATTCTTGGACATTCGTTTGAGCGCATATGATGTTTTTGAGATTTTACTATGAAAACACGTTATTATTATATTTTTTTTAAACAAAATGGTGAATTTATTTAAGTTATCGAATATCAAATACCAGGGTGCGCAAAAATTCGCTGACGAATTATTCAAAATACATTATTTTCGTTTTGTGCTCATGTTAACAATGAAT